CTATGAGAAAATGAATTACCGCACTTTGTATGTATGTATGTACGTAAATTCAAGAAGCAAAACTGTGAAACATAGTCAAATGTTGACTCTCTGGCAATAATAATTTTTTAAAGGCTTTCACGCCTCGAACATTTTTCTATGGACACCACTGTCAGTATTTTATACGTTTTAAGTAGAATATTTTTTATCTTAATTATCGTTTACCATCATGTGTAATTTATGTTTTCCCAAATCATAGATATCCTAGTTCAATAACCAGGAAAGTTGAGTTTGATCGGTCTCAAGGCTGGATAGGTAACACTGAGCTAATTCAGATAATTATACAGGGGAATCTAACCAAAATGAAACCCCATTTTATTAGAAGCTAGACTATGTATATGAAAATTAGATAAAATTATCTTTTAAATGCGTGTGACGTTTACTTTGCAATGTTGAGCATCATTTGCCTTACATTTTTATAAGTTCGTTTTGAACATTATTACTAAACAAATACCTTCCAATAAATTTGCGCATCCCTGATTCAAAAACAGGAGCTCAACCTGGACCCCTAGTAAAATTGTCAATGAATAACTAAGATTCTATTTTTAAGCAAGGATACAGAATATATACATGGTTCTTAATTCAAAATTTGCACAGGTATACTTCTTTTAATGATCCCTTGATTCTACTTTCGTCGCGTTGTTCCAAATCCAAATGCCATCAATAACTTTTGAACCTAGTTAAATTCCGTTATCTCCTTACTTCATCCCACGTGTAAAGATTCTGCGACGCCTCTGCTCAGACACAAGTGTACCTGTAGTAAACTTGCTCCGCGGAGTGTACTAAACTCAGGTGTGTTTGATACCCGTTCTGAGGTTACATTCCTCAGTTAAAGCAGAGAAAATCAGAATAGCCTCGGCAACGGGTAGTTATGTTGTTGTAGAGCCTAATGTTATTCTACGTCTTCCAGAATTTGCAATGACTGGGAAATTCCATACGTGAGTCTGGCTGACAATGACTGCATTTCGGGAATTTTCGTTAAAAGCGAATTATAGAGTTTATGATACACTGTTTAGCAATCCAAAAAATGCAAGATAAAAGGACATTATAGGTGCTTGTCCTGGGCATCCATAAAACACAGCGAATATGAAAAATTGCATAGAGGATAGTAACAAGGCGGTACGAACAATATATTCTTAACAAAATTATTATGTCTCACAGAAGTTTTGGAAATCCATGTTTACTGTGTGTTTGATAGTCAAAATGATAATGTTAAGATAAGTTAGATAAAAATTAAGGATGTAGCAAATATCTATTGAATTGATGATTTGCAACTGTTTTTCAATGAATACAATAAATAATCAAGGGCAATCGTTAGCATGCACAAAGTGATTAATATTCGGTTTGGATTAAAATCTTTTGAAAAGTGAAATGATATGAATGAAATTAGTTTTTGTAAAAACAAAGTAAGCATATCGAAATAAGACCGCACAAAGCGCCATATATCACCAAAATCGACCATTACAGAGGGACGATGGTGATAGACGGCGCGATGAGTAGCCAAAAAGCACGAAACAGTTGTCCATGGGATGTATGTCTCTTGGTCGGACGGACGAGAGCATCATGTTCAGAAAGTGAAAAGAATTCCTCGCCAGATGAAAGGTTAGGACTTTGTGGTACTTATTATCCCTGTTTTGGTGCCTGATTATTCGTCTTTTTAGATCATTAACTAGTAATTTGAATTTCCCTTTATTAATGGCGGAGTGCCTATTTCTAGACCAAACCCTTTTCAATGATATTCTTTTGGCAAATTTCATAGTTGATTGATTGTATAACTTCACACGTATAATAGCTTTCTTTCTCAGTTTATGTTGAAATCCTTTGGACACTAATGTGTTTTATTAACGACTACCTCAGAAATTTTCTCATAAAATACCGTTGGTCGCTCGTAGAGTTGGTTCCGCCCATTGGCAACAATCAGCGCCACTCTGTGGTTTCTTTACGTACTAACCTATATTTGGTTTCCTATAAAGATACCTTCTTTACCCATGAGGAAACCTTTCTCATTTAAACTTCTTTTAAAAAGTTAGATGCTGTGCGTCATTCACTTTCCTGTGGAGATTGTGGTGTGGGTGTCGTTTCGTTAACTTCGACATTCTGGGATATTAGACCCCCAAACACCACTTTATGGAGTAGCATTCTTTTATTTTGTACTTCAGTTGTTTTGTTTTGGGTGCCAGCCCGTCCATTTTCTTATGGGATTGTAACCCTCAGCTGTAAGTTCTTTTTTATACCATCGGACCACGTGCATTAATGCATCTCCTGAAGAAGTTTGTTCAATATCTGCTTCCTCCAGCTTTGTCTTGAAGCTGCCTTGTAGCTGTTTTGCAGTCGATTTTGCTGGAAACTACTCCTCCCCCTTGACACAAAAGACCCTGATGTGAACAGGTAAAATATTTCAATTTTGTATTTTATAAATATTAATATATTGATTGTTGCTGACTGAAATTCTTAGAGTGTACTTGATTTTGCTTGGCATTTTACCTTTTCGAAAATGGGGCAGTGCCTACATGGCACGTTCTGTTGGGCATTACATTACATTGATCATAGTTTTGATTTTTGAGCTGCTATAATATTTTAGAACAACGAATAAATTTCTGAGGGTATATCACTTTAGTACATTTTTATCTTTTTTGCATTTGCTTTAATTTTCTTGTAAAAAAATGTACATGGCTTTTCTTTAAGTTTGAGTGTTTTCAATGAGTAGTTTTATCTTATACAGACAGTAGAGAGTAGATTTTTAGGCAGTCTTCCTCCCCTAAGGTTTTTCTTTGTCCCGTAAATTTTGAGAACGAGGCAAGCAGTCCCTACCTTGTGACGTGCCCACTACTGGCCACCTTTTTTTTATCTGAGCATTTGTGAGCTGAGGACATCTCGGCTGCGCCCAGAGCTGTAACTAGAAGAAGACTACAACCCAGATAAGTTTAGGTTTAGGCGCTAAACTATCTGTAAAGCCTTCGTACGTGTAGCATGGTAAACGTTTCACGGGGTTACTTACCATGGTCAAATAATTTTATTGCCAGGCAGTTTTGAATAATATCCTTTTTTTAACTTGCACTCCAGTGGTGGAGCATATGTATTGTTTGACCGGTCAATATATTCTGATTTTTTTTTAAATTGCTTGTTCTATTTGGCTGTCTGTGTACTATTAATTAGGTTACGTCATTACTGTTAGATTCTTTTCTTTTGTGTGGGTGGTCAAGCAAAACAAGTTCTGACTAACATCTCGGGGATTTGTGGCTTAATCTATCTTAAGTCACTGGCGCTCTAAACCCCCCTACTCCGTGCTTTATTGAGGTAGGACCTAAAGTGGCACGCCGCTTGACAGCTGTTTTGCATTGGCTGACCCCTTAGATTTCATTTATCGTGTTTTATTATTTTATGAATTAATTAAAAAAAAAGAAAGAGGAATCACATCACCATTTCTTCGTGTTTATAAAAAAGGCGTGGCACGTCAACAAACTAGGGGCTTATTTGAAACTTTATCCCTTCATCTGTTTCGTTCCGAGATACAAGCGAAGCAGCAGCCTTTTCTGTAACTTGAATTCGATTTCATTTTAATTATGTTTTTGGATGATGGATGGGCATAGTATTCAAATATCTCTTATGTCTATCAACGTTAGGTTCACATGTCTAGAAACAATTTTACTTAGGAATGAATTGAAGTTGTGACGACAATTTTTTATACAATTAAATAAAGCAGTCGGAAAGGCAAAAACCTCAGTACCGGGATACACACTAGAATTAAAGGAGCCATCGCATCGGTCAGTTACCAATGTAGAGAAATCCTAGCGCGTTCGTCCGGCATTGGCGACATTATGGAGGAAGGCTCAAAGGAACAAAGCCCTTTAGCATATCTGTAAAAGAGAGACAGATTATGAACCGCCTGTCGATGTGAGAGAGTCTTGACACTGTCTTTAAGGGAATTGTCACCGATGAGATCATAGAATGTGAGTATGAATGAAATGAATAAAGTATCGCATACCTACTGTTTTCATAACCCTTATCAAGATGAATGTCATTCAATTTTGGCCTTCTTGCGGTTTTTATTTTTGTTTTTCGAATTAACTCATTCTTTAAACAATCACAAACTGACTAGTTCTATTATTAGTATGTATTCGATATTTGTTTTAGAAATCCCAAAGTGTGATTTCCGTTTTTTTAATTTCCTATCCATTTAAGATTCAGCGAGGAAAGTGGTGCTAAAGTAGAAGCTCTTGAAAGATGTAGGAACTAATTTCTAAATTATCGGAACTTAGGTTTTTTATATTAATGCATCCGCGGTATCTAGTCAGTCAACTTGATTTGAATAGAGGAACTATTGCGAGTTAGCAAAGCGACAAAACTTGATTATGTTAAATAAGATTCTAATATGATGTCTCCAAGAAACGAAAAATAAATCGTCACTGATTTTCGTCGATCCATAAATATCCTTGTAATCTGGTAATCCAAGCAAATTCTGAACCGATTTTGATGAATCTGTTATATTGGAATATGGAATACTGGTGCAACCTGTTGACAATCATACATCATATATGTAGGTTCCTGAAAAATGTACATGTCTCGTCCAATTATTTATTCTCGGATGCAGCCAGAAAGCTTCGATGACAGATTCTATTGTTACCTTCCATCCGTCATAAAAAATATATTTTTTTACCAACTTCTCTAGGTTGTAGCTTGGAAAGTTTTGCTAAGGTTCAAGCCGTCAAGTTTCAGATTCTATTACTGGATTCCTTGGATATCTCCATTCATCATAAAACGTAATCAATTAATCTTTGGAATATCTCAAACTTCGTTTTTCAACGTTTGCAAACTGTCCACCATATTTGGTTACTGTTCCAATCTGTTTTCCTCGAAGAGATCTTGTCTTCTTTTCAGAAAATGTTCCAAATTACTGTGCACAAATATTACAAAAAGTCGGGACTTATTTTTTCTAGAAGTCCGTTTATTATTGATTATTGTGCATGTTACGTACAACCGTACCCATGTTTCGGTTGAAGAAGGAAATGCAACCCAAATTAACTGTTCGACCTTCAACGTTTATTTTTATTAACAAAATATCCAATTTGCATTTCGGTACATCTGCTGTACGGCTAGTCGTTTAGCAGTATCTCCAGATTGATTTGCGGCTCTGGCAAATTGGGGTCCACCGTGGTGGCAGATGTGAGGTACGCTTTGGTCAGGCTCGTTTTGCCTGTTTTGTGGTAGAGCACGGCGAGGTTGTTCAGAGCCGAAGCATGCGAAGCGTCTGCAGATAGGCATACGTTAAGGCACTGCACTGCCAGTTGGACATCACCTGCTGTCTGGAAAAGATGAGATGATATTATACAGAGTTACCCAAAACCAGAGTCACTACTCTAGCGCATAAATTACTTCCGAAGGAAGTATAACGTAGGATGCTAGGGCTACGATACATATACAAAATCACGAAAAGAGTATACTCATCCATGCGGGGCGGAATATTGCTTGTAAACAATGACTTTTCAAAATAGCTATTTATGGATTATTATACACGGTATCTGGTAGTACATTTATAGAATACTCAAAATCATACAGGGCGTGTCAATTTTGAGGGACATGTCAAAGTTGTATTGATATATCATAACTATGCGTTATGGTTATTGGTTGTTGATTTATTGGGTATTCTATCTAAGAAAATATTAAAGCTTAACAGCCTGCACACCTGATATCTTGGCATGTGAAGTTGTGGATTTTATCATAAGGTTTGACCTAATCCATCCAATTTTTAAATTTTCTGAATGAGATGCAGGGTGGCCAAAAACTCAAAATATACTTTCTCTAAAAAAAACTACATATAATTAAAGTTTTCATATCCCAGTCTTTATAAGCTTTTTCCTGATGTGAAAGTCAGTAGGGCTTACTTATAACGATTTGAATTATTTCAAATTGATGTAAATTGCACACTATATTATGCCTAACAAAAATCGCAGTATCCATGGAACCAATAGATAACTAGAAGACTTATGATTGAGACTAAGCATCTTAAACTCATTAAAACTAAATATTTTTCGTGAAATCAAAGAAAGTTTATGTTAGAGTAATGACACTGAATATTGAACGACACAACAAAAATTAAGTGCGTTATATTTTATGTGTTAAAGTTCGACAGAAACAATATTTTGAATTCTTAGTTATAAAAGAGACTGTGTGTCGGTTTGGCAACTGAGCAGATATACTTACTGAGATTAGAAGTGCTATATCCAGAAAATAATATTTAAAGCATGCTGTGGCGACAATGTCAACGTTTTATCTTTGTTTTTGCTTACCTTTGTTAAAATGTTACCTCTTAGTTTTTGTGAAGGGAGCAGTTTCTGAGAGCTGAGTGGTCAGAAATTTTTAGTTATCGACCTTTCATTTACCAGTGTTAAGCATAACAAAATGCCTCGTCCTTGATGTAAGACTACCTCATTGCCAAAAAATCAAGTTGAAGAAATTATTTTTTCTGGGTATACCACTTCCAATGTCACTGAGTATAATAATCTACATACTACCTCACACGTACTAAAAGTATCACATGGTCGAGCTAATAGGAATGATACACTTGAAATAGGTGAAATCTGACAAAAATTACATTAATAACTATTAGCAATGCCAATAGCCTAAATGAAACAAAATAACAGATTCTCAGTACTAATTGTATGGATATATGTTTTAATGGTCTAATGTATGTGTTTACTGTACGTACGCGACAAATAAATGTATCCCCTCACAAAGTGAGGGCACATGATATAGACAACGATAATCAGTGAATAGCCAAGGGAAATGCAGCTCCTTCCATTTGTCTTCTTATTTGTCATCAGAAACATCCCTGAAATGTTGTCAAACGACGATCTTTACGATGAACTTAATATTCATGATTAGTATATTTCACGCCCAAGGTCATAGATAAACGTAAAATTTCTGGTCCGGTCTATTTCTGTAGTCAAAAGGATACAAACATTGTTTCGACATTTATTTGACTGACTGAACTGCATCATTGTTTTGTGCTCACCAACAACTCGGCAGTGCGGCATAGTCTTAGGTATGGTCTTTCCCGATAGCACGAAATTTTCATTAAATATTTATTCAATATCTAATAATATTTTTATCTTACTTAATATTTGTTATCTTAAACAAATATTTAATAAATATATGGAAAATATGTTTACTAAATATTTATTCTATATCTTTTATACATTTTAAATACAATAATTATTTATAATATTCATTAAATATTTACTTTTCAATCAATGGAAAATATTAAATCTCCATTATTTAGAAAATATTCATTTAATATTTTCGGCTACGTCGCATGTGCGTGTGACCCCGAGCGACCAATGGTATAATGGCAAAATTCAATCAATGGAAAATATTAAATCTCCATTATTTAGAAAATATTCATTAAATATTTTCGGCTACGTCGCATGTGCGTGTGACCCCGAGCAACCAATGGTATAATGGCAAACCGACCTGAGCCGAGCCGTCTGCCGGCATCCATTTTGCCTGCGAGCTTTACTGATGACAGCGCGCTTCCTGTGTACCTCCAGGTGGTACATTATTTGAGTGTTTTTTGTGGAAAAGGGTTTTGTGATAATTACATAGCTTAATCTATCTGACTCGTGAGCATTATTGTGTCAGTTGAATATAAAGGTATTTAGACCATTAATTTTTTTTTTTTTTTTTTTATATCGAAACAGCCGCGCAGGCAGAAGCCTAAATGCCGGAACACCGCGGCTGCTATGATGATCCCAAAGAAATTTTGTTAATACGATTTTTGAACTGCCTAAGGTTAGTAGAACTGGGAAAAGCTTCCTCCCGTAGATTGTTCCACAATCTAGACACCCTCGGGACAAAGGAGCGGTCGTATCGGCCAGTTCTGGATGTACGAAGTTTGACACGGTTAGGATGGGGTGCCGAAGTCAGGCGGGTCTGTCTGGCAGGCGCATCGCGCGGCGGCATCATGGAAGAGAGCTCTGAGGAGCAAAGCCCGTTGGTGTAGCGATAGAAAAGAGCTAGATCGCCGACGGCCCGCCGGTGCGAAAGAGTCCCGAGACTGTCTGTTAGAGAAGAGTCATCGATCAGTCGGACCGCCCTCCTCTGGACAGCATCGAGCATGGACAATGTAGTCGGGGCGGCAGCACCCCAAATGTGTGAGCAATACTCGAGGCTAGGCCTTATCTGGGCCTTGTATAGAGTGAGAAGGTCATGCGGAGAAAAGTACTTCTTAGCCCTGAACAAATAGCCCAGCTTTTTCCCAGCAGCTGCAGCTATTGAAGAGATGTGTTCGTGCCAGATCAGGTCCTCGGTGATCTGGACTCCGACCAGCCGAAATGAGTAATAACTAGCATTGAAGTGTAACAGTTATTTGCGTTTTGGGATTGGTAGATTTATCTGAAAGTGGAAACGAAAATTATGTTCATAACATCCCAATGAACTTTAATATGCATTATAGAGCTGCTTTTCAGTGAACCAGTTGAGCTACTCGGAGTAACTCAGCAGTGCTCAGCACCAATATTGTTCGACTGCATTTTATATTCCCATAAATACACTTTCCAGAGTAGTTGGGGATAATAGCTCTTCCAAACAAAAGACCACTGGAATGCAGCTTATGTATTCAATAATACTTCATAACTAGTGAGTTTGGTTTTTTCCACAGGAAAGGATTTGCAAGATGCAAAAGAGGTTTAGAATGTTTTTTAATGATATTTTTCTAGCAAATTAAACCATTACATGTAGAATACATTTTCTTTATAAACCCAATTTAGTTAGAATTTTATAAAATAACCAATGAAGTATTTTCTATATACACTGAAAATATGTATCAGATTAATCCTCGAAAATCTGTTGCTCTATACATTTCTTAGATATATATTCACGAAAAGTAGTACATATTTCATCAAAATATAAAATTAATATTTAAAAATTTTTCCTCATATATTTTCTAAATATTTGGAAAAAATATCACAAAAATATATGAATTATATGTACAAATATCTATAATGAATATTTTATGAATATATAAAACATGTACATGTTAAATATTAAAAAAATCTGTCGCTGCAAATATTTAACAAACATTTTTTTTAAATTATTTAATAAATATTTAATGCTATCGGGGTTGGAGAAAGATGGTATGGAAAGCAAACAAGTGGGTATGGTCTTTTGAAAAACTGAAAATCTTGTGCAGAAGTAGGTGAAAATACGATATTTGCCAAACCATTGTAATGTGGCGATCGTCCAGATTTCAAGCTCGGTTTCAATGTCATCAGTGAACAGTTAGAGAAAGGTTCCACTTTACGTTCAAAAAGGTACGTGAAATCTTCTTAAACGGGGCCAATATCATTTTTACGCAAGGTCATATCTAAGCGAGAAGATTTGCGCCTACATGATTACAATAAAAAAGTCGGCCCACCCTGCAGTACCTTGGAGGTTAAATCAAGAACATTGAACAGGTATGGACTGTACAAAACCCTACCTTTTTACTTTCACTATACCCCTTGAATAATTATTTCCATTCCAGGTCTTTTGGCTCTAGTTTCCACGATATTCCAGCACATGAGCGATCTTAGTAGCACGAAAGAATGCTCTAAGTTTCGGAAATATCGTATATATAAGGCGTCCAAATAAGATTCCAAAATATGAATTTGAACTGATGCCAAACAAGGATAATCATTATTTAAGCCTTCCATAAATCAATCAAGGCTCATAAAAATAGCGCTAATGAGTTACTGTTATTGCATGCTATTCAAAGTTGGCGCCCTAAGTGGTTTGCATTAGTGTTAAATATTTTGTTCAAGAAAAAATACTTATCTGAACTCGCAACTCTCTAGGGGAGAGTTACGATTTTCTCTATAGCACATTGCAACACTATTTTATTTATATGGAAAACATGCTTACCAGTGCTACGTAGGAAAGATTATACCATATTTCAGCTTTAACTAGTGGATCTATGGCTAGTTCAAGAGCTCGTTGAAAGCAGGGGTAGATCAAGTCCAACTGTTGAGCATAAAGGCAACATAGACCTAGATTGTTGTACAGTTCTGGCGAGTGAGCTCCCATTGCCAAAACCCTCCTGCAAAAATATTTTTATTATTGTGGCGATTGGGCAGCCATATGTGGGAGCTTGCTATACCGTAAGGATCAAATTTGTCTGACGTAATGTGCACCAGAGAGAAGCGCAAGAAGCGTGCAATATGTGTGTCCGAAAGAGTGCTTTAATGGCATCCGTGACCTCATACTCGGGTTGCTAGGCAACAAGGTATGCCTATCTCTTTCTAAGACACGTATTGCACGCTTCTCTCTCGCATGACGTCAGTGGTATTTTGTTTTCAGTGTTATACCCTTTCCCGTCTCAAGCTGAGAATTCCTGAAATCCCGACTCTAGTTACGTGGGAATCAAAAAATGAGTCATGTTGAGTGATAACCAGTAAAAGTTAAAGAAATCAATACGATCTAAGAGCCGATGACGCAAAACTTTTGAAAGATGCGGTTCCCAGGAATCATCAGGCTGGTCCAAATGAACCAAAAAGGTGGTTCCGTCTCTCATCCGTTAGGAGCATATTTTTATTAGGGAGAGAGGGGTGATAAAGATGGGACTGCCCACGTCATAACTTGCTCGGTTGGGTTCTCAAGTTATCGGCCGGGTTTTAATTCCCCCTGGGAGTTGTGGAATCGTACCCACATGCTATAAGAATTATTTTGCAAATTTGTAGTCACTTTTATCCTGCCAATTGGGAGACGTGTTTCAATTAAAAATAATAAACGCAGAGAAACCAAGGATAATATAAATTGCACTTCCAGCAATAATAAATATAAATCAAAAATACTTTCTCATAAATTGTATAAAAAAAGTTTATATGACTATCGCGTGCATATTTTTTATACCGAAGCCACCCCGCAGACAGAAGTCTAAATATCAGTGCACTGCGGTTGCTATGAGGAACTTGAAAACCTTCTTAATCCGATTCTTGAACTGCTTAAGGTTAGTAAAACTGGGCAAAGCCTTCTCAGGTAAATTGTTCCACAATATCAATACCCTAGAGACAAAGCAGCGGTCGTATCGGCCAGATCTGGATGTACAAGGTTCGACGTATTCAGGCGGGTCTGTATGTATTATAAAATCCGAAAAGTATAAATACGGAAGAGCTGATTGATTTCCAGTAAGCCACATGGACAAAAATATTTCAAATAATATAGGTAATTACTAATAAATTCAAACGATCTGCCATCTTAGAGTTTTGAGAACTGGATATGGGACTGTTGAAATTATTGTGGAAAAAAGTAAAAACTGACATAGAAATGTTACTTTACTCACAAGGATCTCAGAACTTCCATAGTTAGTTGAAAAATGGTGCACCTTGACATTTGGTACAATATCGTTATTTTTGTATTGCGACTTTTACAGCAATATTTGTGTGGGGAGGCAGGCGAAAAATCTGACAAGTTGATCTTCTTTCTCATGCCTTACGATGAAATATAACGGAAGACCCCTACACTACCGACTCATAATTGCTCAACGTTCTGCGCATTGCATAGATATATGTCGTACTACCAAAACGATCGACCCGTCTAGCAGCCAGAATACTAAGTATTCACAGAGCAGGCCAACAATTTCTAATATACGAGTACATAAATAGACAGGATTGGCCACGACCAACCGCAGAGGTTTTCAAACGGCCATACCCACTTCTTTGCTTTCCGTTCACCTGTCTCCAGCACGAAATAGCTCTGTCTGAGGTTGGTCTCTTATAAAGGAAAGCAAACATGTTCATTTCGGAAATATTTGTAAGCATATGGTTCAGAGTGTCGTTTTGTACGATTTTACAATAGTTTGGAAACATTAAAATAAACCATAATAACGTTTTACAAAATTTCACGCTCAGTCACAAGTAAAGAAGTTAGTGTGAAAATAAGAAAAAAAACTCTCTCAGTGAGTTAATTGACTTTTTCGTACTAAACTCGGACTACAAGTCAAGTTTCACAATATTTAGAACTGAATATAAGAATATTCAGTTATCAAAAATTGTAAGACTCAACATGTGGTCCGAGTTAAAGTAGTAAGTTTTAATTTCTGAATTTTTCTTCTGTTCTCTGGTATCCATACTTTTGAATTTCTTCACACAGATTTACTTGCAACAATTATCCTTATACAACACTAGAAGATAGAGAAAACCGTTTTCAACATTTACTTATTTATATTTCTATGTTTATTCGTCACTCGCTATGAACACTATGATGCGACCACACAATTTCATTGTGAATATTATTTTTAATTGGAATATATATCCATCACGGCAGAAAAGCCACACTTGAGTTTTTTTTAATAGGATGTGGGTAGAATTGCCCGTCTCGTGAAGGCAAATTGAAACATGGTGGTCAACGGGGAAAGGGGCACGTCACCCAACTGAGCGTGCTTCCGTCTTTATCATCCTCAAAAAAATGCCTCTAATATATGAGAAACAGGACCATTTTTCTAGGGGAGGATCCGTATTGATGTCAAGTACCCATTATACCCGGGAGTGGAAACTTGTCTTGCTAACAGATGCTCAAGGGCTTTGTGCTACCGGTTTTCCTACTAGGAGGTTCCCCTCCAAAAGAATTATCCACCTGTGCAATAGTTTGCGGAAAAAAGTATGCGGTAGTAAATCAATTCAATTTCATCCTATTGGATACATCCGTGCACTTTTTATGTCAGAAGAAAATACCTTGAAATTTCATTTCAATTATTTTTATGTGCATAAATCGTTTTTACGATAATTTAATCAATGTTTTGAAAGGAAGCAACTGTTTATTCAGACGTATTATTCCGGAAGAAATTGTATTATTAAGGTTATTCGTCAATCCTTGTCACCTTTTATGGATTGTCCTATCTCGGAATTTTACTTTCATATTTGTGTTATTTAAACAGTTAAATCATTTTCCGGGAAAATCCATAAAGAAACCGGAGATGCTCTTACACTCACACGCACACGGCAATTAAAACTCTTAAATGCTTTAATGCTATCTGCTTGTTGAGGTATCCTCTATATATTATGGACATACAAAAAATGTGGTATCAATCCATTTTTCGCCAATTGTCTGTGGCTATGCAATCTACTATAAATATGGATTATTAAGTCAAGCTTACCTATAATATCTCAGCGCCAATTCTGGCTGATTGTTATAAAAATGGTACATTCCAATGCTTGCGATCGCTTCACTGTTCATAGCATCTTCTATCACTACACTTCTGTAGAATCTTATATATGGAGCGGTATCATGAACAGCTTCGTACAGCCTAGCTAATTCAGTCATGATTGAGACATCCTTAGGGAATACTTCTAATCCAGATTTGCAAACATCCACGGCAGATAGAGGTTGATCTGACAAAACAGTTTTAGTAGGGTATACAAGTTATTACATGCAGGGTGTCTGGAAGGTTATGAACTAATTATGGCATGAAAAAACTAAGCCCCGCGATTTACTTGAATTTGAACTTGACTATCACCTTCAAGGTCATTTGGATATCAAGCCAATTTTTTTAAATGGAACCCTCATGTTTGATCCCGTGAATAAAAAGATAGTTGAATGTTACGTCCAAATATGGTACCAATTATTCTTTAATTTTGACCTTAGGAGATCATGGTCAAGGTCAAACTCAGGTACGGTGATATAACTTGAGAGCCAGTAGTCGTAAAGGAAAACTACTAAGGCTTTATTTTCATGATTTATCCCCGGAAATTCAATGGTGACCTTGGATCTGATCTTGGCTACGACTTTCAAGGTCATTTGAAAATCAATTCTTTTAATGGAACCCTATACTTTTGACATGGAAAATGGGGAGAAGGGAAACTTGCCATTTTTTGGAAGTCGACCTTGGTCTTGATTATCAAGATCAAACACAGGTTCACATTAATTTCTCGATAATTCAGAAAACTGTGAAATCCTCATATAAACCAACTTCACTGTTCTTTCAGGATTGTTCCCTGACTACAAAAATTGATTTGACCTTCACATGACCTTGAAGGTCATCATGGTTGAGTTCAGATCCAAGATCGCTATTGATTATCCGGAGAAAGATCATGCAAATTATGTCTCGGTAGTTACGCCATACGACTACTGATTTTCAAGTTATATCGCCGTACCTAAGTTTGACCTGACCATGACCTGCTACTTAGACGTAAAATTTTTTACTTTTCCGATTCACGTGGTCAAATTTAAAAAAATTACCTTGAAGGTCACGGTCAATGTCAAATACAAGGTTACCATTGAATAGCTGGGGAAAACTCCTATCAATCGTGGGGCTTAGTTTTTTCATATCATTCTGAGTTCACAAATGATCGTGGAATTATTTTTCTAACATCAAATTTGATTTTGGTATCAAAAAGTACACTACATTTGCTATATAAAGCGCTACGTTCAAAACCTCCAACTTCGAAAAAGAACGGCCAAGAAATCCCAATTTGCATTGCGGCTATTTCGTAGAAGCTGAAAGCTTAGTATAGGCATATCACACAGACAAATTGGCTGCCCACCCAGACCAAATCTGCCTATGCTGAGGAATTGCCAAACAGCACGAACTACCTGTTCCTTGTTAATAGAGATTTACGTAAAATATTGTGTTTGTCTTTAATTCAATTATATCAAAAGTTTTTAACTTTGCAACTCATATCGGTCGACCTCTATCGGTATATCGGCTAATTCATATATCGCCAAATTGGGCCGCTATTGCCGATATAGGTATGTTCTCGCATTCACAGAATTTAATAAAAACTGGTAAGAGGTAGATCGACTCTACATACTTACCAAGCCTCTGGTAAATCCGACTAAGCCTAATAAAGATCTCCACATGTTGGTGTTGCTTCAAAGCACTCCTCAGTTGCTGCTCAGCATCTCTCACCATATTAAGCCCAACGTAACATTGAGAGAGAGCCACCTTCCACCACCAGTCTTTGAATTCACAGCTTTGAGTTGCGTGGACAGCTAATTCCAACGCGTTCCTGATGTCTCCTTCGTGATAGAATAGGTATTCGAAAAGAGGCTTGGATAGGTTTGGATCTTTACTGTATTTTGAGAGGTTCAGTCTAGATACCTGAAAAGTATAGGATACTTTTGGAAATAACTGTTGCAAAAGAGCGAATCTCCATTTTTTACATATTTTAAGACTCTCAGTGATACAGAAAAACAATGCACGTGAATTATTAAGTATTAGTGGTGTACCATTATTAAATATTACTAAATATATATCTAGCTCAGAGAGTATTAATAAATCATGAATAACTTAAAAAATGCCTACCCTAATGTTTTTATTACACACTAGAATTATCGGAAACTTAAAAAAGCTTTTAACATTTTTGAAACATGTAGTATCACTCCTTAATTTTGTGATCCATAGGTCTTTTAACTGATTTTGGAGCTTACGTATACATGTAATATAAAATAATAGTGAAACAGGTCAACTATTGCCATGGAGATCGATTGAAATTGCACACTGCGCAAATAGATCATTAACGCAGCTCTTGAGGTGGTCTTCATTCAGTTGCTGGAGACCGATTCATCACAAACTGTCGATAGTGTCCACTAATTGTATTTCCAGATAGCCGTAATGCAGGCGATCAACGGAAAGAAAAATCGCACGATCATGACAAGTAAATTGTATCATACCGACAGCCGCAATATTACACAAGCAAATGTCGATGGTGTATAGTGTATACTGATTGTATTTCCATGTCAGCGATCAGTGGAACAAAAACTCAAATCGCACAGCAACAAGCGAGTTGTGTCATACTGACGGTCGCGAGCATAGCTCCACAAACAAACATCCATAGGCAGATGTAGACTGCGTCTGTATGTGTGAGGGAGAGTGAGATATATAGAGGTGATACCGGTAAAATCAATGAAAAAAAGCCTATAATTATAGGCTTACTATGATCTCTGTTGTTTTCCGCGTACCATAACCGCATATAACGTTGATTAATACTTTTTAGCAATCATCAGAACGGAACATGACTAGTCATTTAGAGAGAGCTGATAGGAAGCAAACAAGAGAGATGGGTCTTCGGGAAAACTCAATATTGTGATGTGCAAAAATAGATAAATCCATTTTTGGTATTCAACAGTCTGTTAAAGTCATGAATAAGTTAACAGCGCGATGTTGGCCTCGTAAACCGCTAAACTGACTGTCTATATATTAAAAAGTCAAAAGTGTCATCTCGACCTTATTTTGCCTGCAGAGATTTCATAGAAGTGATTTACAATATACAGACAACGAACAGCCAGTAAGGCCTTGTTTTGTTTAAATATCATAGAAAATGGATAGCCTCAGTAGGATTGATATTATCTGCATATTATAATCTTCGGAAAGAGACACCAGTGACATTGAAGACATACCGAGAGACAGAATTGTAAGAAGTATGAGGTTTCCCTTGATTGCACTAGATGATTTGGAAATCAAAAGAATATTTAGAATAAATAAAAATAAATTTAGGCGACTGGAAAATGTATTGAAAAATGTTGTATAACCGATAAATAAACTATATTCCCAGTCAAGCTTCTCCCAACAGTCATTTTTCTGCTTGTTAGATACCAAGTTAGTCTTTTTGTTTTCAATTATAGCTCGATATTTTAAACCAAGGAAATTATTATCTCTTTTCCCTTGATGTATAGTTAGCTGATCTTTTTTCTCTGACCGTTCCTTGATGCAAAACCATTACAAAACTGACAATACACTGACAAGAGTGTGAATGATAACCACATGACAATACACAGCACCTATAAAGTGAGGTTAGATGTGGTTCTCTTGTTTTTTTCAAGAGGCACCAACATAAAGAAATTAAGATTCTTGTATGACAGTCAGTTTTTTATCAGAAGCCGAAAAGTTTTGGTGAATAACAGTATTGTCTAACAGACTGTTATATTTTGTGCAACCGATAAGTAACAGTCTGGTAAACGCCGAATTGGTAAATACGGCCGTAAGTCAATCGCTATACTGCCAGCGATGACAACATCTGTCTCTAAATAGCTCGACCTGTACCGCACTGATGATCGCTAAAACTCATAAAACAACATTATATATGGATTATGGCTGCAGAGACGGGAGGAAAAAATTATGGTAGGTGCTCTTTTTCGGCTTCATCGAAGCAAATACTGCCAGTTTCCTGCTGCCATCGTAAGCGCTACGTAGGTCGTGCGTTTACTTCCGTTTATTCTTCATGATTCGTCGGCTTCTGCATGGGTTCTCAAATATGCTGGGTGTTACGACAACATGGAACAACATGTCGGGCAAAGCGACTTGTGACTACCTTCGTATGGAGTACAAGAGTCTATCTTCATAGGTTGCTGAACTTTGTTAAATACACCAGGGTTATTTACTATTGAGTTGCATGCAGCAACCGGCTGGTTTGTCTACTGCTAAAAGCTAAAGATATATCAGCCCCATCGGAAATATATCTCACGAAATCGTTGGACAATAAAGGACTGTTACATCAGTCCAAATAACTACCCCTCATAATTACTCCATATGCTTAGAAAGGTCCTTTATTTAGGCAACAGCAAAATGATCAGGGTTCATATGTTTGTTTTCCGGAATAGAAATAACTCAATTTCAAGTTGATCACATCTATGAGACATTATACACTTAAGTACTGTTTTATATTTGTATGCATTGTGCGTGCCGTAACGTTTTTGTATATTTTAGTGTATCAGGGTGTTTTGCAATAAATTTAAATTATGAAATATTATATAAAATTGTAATTTAAAGATTCCAAAATGGGTGAATTTTGGACAGAAATACCAAAATTGCTGACTTCTGGCTTTTAAAGAACAATGACATACTAAGATAGAGAGACGAATTTTGATAAAAGTTAAAAACACTGAAACATTTAACTGCAAAAATTTCGTAGATGCGACAGGACAAAAAAACCGCCGACAAAAGTTCCAAAATCTTAAGGACTACAGTACCTTCCTGGTATACGATTGAGAAGGATGGCTTAATGATGATAAACTGAAGATATACATCTTTCACGCCTGTTTCAAAATGAGGGGCAGTACTTAAAGGATTACCCCAATAGAGATTATCGCACATTTAGCAATATTATGGAGATACGTCTATCATAACAATACCTGTATAAAAGGGCCTTCTTTCTGTGACAACATAGCGGCTGTACCTAGTCTGATTGTGCGAGCGGACTGGCCTGTGACTGGTCGAGCGGTCTTGAGACGGTCCAGAGCTGACCCTGGTCGAATTTGAGTACCTGGATGAGCCACTCCTGATATGGGACGTCCTGTTGCTGTACGCGGCCTTGAACTATTACAAAAATAACAACGGTCAGTATGCAAAGATGTAAATCTCTTTGTAATAATATCTTTGTTAAACTATTAAATCCCGGATACCCATAATATATACAACATATACTCGTACATAGTAGTGGACATACTTATTTGTCGTAACTCGTTGAGAGAAAGTATACAATTTTTTTTTGCAAAGTAGTCAAGCTTTCGACGGTATACGCCTCCATCATCGGGAGTAAGTCGGCGAGACTGTTGCTGAATTGTTCTTAGAAGAAGATGGATGAGACCACATAGTAAAATGATCAAAAAACTGGATACATGAGGTTCATTTAGAAAAATTACTAAAAAGTCATAGCTATGTTTTTCAAAAAACCACTAACGTGTACGTATCGCTCGGGTTACCTAGTAGAGCTATTGAGGGTCTAGAGTCCTGATCTCAAAAGCTTTGATCATGCTCAGCCAACGTAAATCAATAATAAGCTATCAAAAAGTGCACGCAAAATGTGGCATGGCTACTGTTATTCAGCATGAAAGTGTTGCAAATTACTAAAAAGTCATAGCTATGTTTTTCAAAAAACCACTAACGTGTACGTATCGCTCGGGTTACCTAGTAGAGCTGTTGAGGGTCTAGAGTCCTGATCTCAAAAGCTTTGATCATGCTCAGCCAACGTAAATCAATAATAAGCTATCAAAAAGTGCACGCAAAATGTGGCATGGCTTCTGTTATTCAGCATGAAAGTGTTGCAGTGTTGAACCGCTATACGATTTTCCAAATTTTTACAATTCCAGATAATACTTCCAAGTCCCACTACTCCCCTACTTATGAATGCATGCGCAATAAAGCATTAAAAAGCCTCATTTTTGTGATTCTGGAGATCAGGATCCTGTCTCTGAAGCCCTAGAGTGAGATAGTTGAGACTATGCTTTGATGATCAATCCACCAATAATACTGAACAGACTTCTAACATCTATAGCTTTTTCGTTCTCGTCATGTAGTCATTTAATCTTTTGCGAGTACTTCTGGAGGAAAAAGTAAAATTTGTTGAATTGTTTAAACAAGGGTGAAAGGACGTTTTTTTTTCAATATACGTGTGTGATTTCTCATGTAAATGCTCACTTCATTATTATCTACTTGGAATGGAGTTATCGATTCCCCCAGACTGATAATTATTATCGATTCCACGTAATAATGCAGGAGGCTGTATTATGGATAGATAATAGATTTGGAATTACAAATTATGAACTCGTATCAAAACTTACGACAACCGAACAATGTATTTGCTACATCATTGATCTATATTACATATGCACCACAGAAACTCTGGGATGAGTTTCTGTCATTTTACTCAGTACTCGTATATGCTGGACAGGATAACGTACAGATACAGTGAATTTGAAACTATACTGCTGCCAGTGAGTGCTGCAAATAGATCTTTTCTTTTGGATGGTAATCTAGCACAAAAACCTAGTTTATGAGCTTTACAGTGGAGAACTTACTATAGTTTAACTGTATTGGGCATCAATTCTGTATTAAACTACTCGTATCGTTGTTGTCTTCCTTATCAAGGCAAGAGCGCCCAGTTTTAAACTTCCTATCGTGTATAAGAAAGCTAAACGGTCAATAAAAGGTTGCTATCTACTTTATGAATCACTTGTAGGTACTATAACTTTATGCCTATGCTTACGCCAGTGCCGTTGTGGGAGGAAGAGCCGCTGTCTTCATTGAAGTACCGGGTCTTGGTGCGGTGGCTACCGCACTGTCTTCCAGAAAATCCAATTCTGGAATTTCTTCGCTATCCAGTTCATCCACATACACCCTTTGGGTCATTGCTCTCATCTTCAGACACCAAGCTGCCTGGTCCAAAGGCTGCTTTTCTGGAATCCATTATAGTTCAGTGCTTGTAATGTTTTTTGCTCCTAAGCAAAATTGCTGTTTCTACGGTAATAGTACTATTACTGAGAAGTAATTTTATTTGCTGCACTTCAAACAGGGCTTTTTGAAATAATTACGCGCTGAATCACATACGGATCAATTCCGTTGAATTTTAGGAAATTGATATTTCTAACCATAGAAAAGTTTTCGAAAATGCGACAATTTGAATTTTCCGTAATCATTCCAGGCACCATAGAACATCAACAACTACAAAGATACTCTGTATTACCGACACAATCAACACGGTTTGTCACACATAATCAATATTACTACCTGTATATTCATTTTGGATCTTTTATCTAGAAAGAAGAGCTTGTACTTTGAAAACAACAATTTACCTAAGATTCCACTGCATAGCTCTATACACTTGTCGTAACGCCTTCTCCTATAGAGACTTAAAGCTTGGACCAATAGATCCATATTGTGGTAAGTTCACTACCTTAACGTGACATAGCAAATTCTAAAGTAGACTTGTTCCTCAAACATTTTGAGGAGCATGTAATCCGTAACTGACCGCAATGAATCCATTTCATTGCAGGTATTTAACAAAGCAAGCATAACGTGGTGTTTGTATACAAGCGACTTGTCGCCATGGCCACCACCAAGGGTGGCGTGTACGAAGTATACACTGAAAACCAAATTTGTCTAACGGCTTGAGTTTAATGTGCACGAGAGAGAGAGAGAGAGCTGTGTATAGATACATATGTTAAAAACACATAGAAGCTGGCTGGATAGTGAAGGTCATCGCCGCATTGCCTAGCATATTGGAAATACACGTTAGTTTATTCTGTACGCCCAAATAATGGTTTTAATTTGAGCGTACACATTCTTGAATTATCAATTGTGTTGAATCTGTTAAGATCGATTCCGGGTCGACACTAACGGCGCACCACTTTAGGGCGAAAAGAAAGGTCAGAATCGCCACAAATTCTGCAAACATTGGTTACACTCACAAACCGTATCTTGTACATTCCAAGGCAAGGTTTCGACCTCCATCATTATATGTAGTTGAGCGATTTTGGTCAGTACCTATCTAGAGTTCGTAGGAGAGTGTCGTCCTACTTCGAAATTGATTTTACATGTGCACACGCATGCAGTGATGCAGTGATAATATGTATTGTGGTTTGCGATTATGCCTTACATATTAAAAAGTTTTTAAGTTCACGGCGGAGAGTATTTGAATTGTTTTTGATAGCACCAGGGACATATGTTCATTTTCAGACCATTTTAAATTATTGAGTCTTTTACAAGTGCTGATTTAGATACCACTAATTTAAGATCTTGTTTTCGTCTAATACTGTAACTTATATTTAATGTTTCAAATTTATATTTATTTAAAAATAAGAGTTTCTGTTACTAAAATGAACAATGATACTACAGCCATTATTTCAAGATTTACAAATAAAGGCTTGCATGAAGTTCTAGGATTGCTTTTATTTATATGTCCAATAGTTCGTTTTTGTAGAATAAGCACATTTTTAAAACAATTTTCAAATAAGGCAAGGTAATTGGTTAAGGCTGTACTTTGCCCTACGTTGTAACTAATTGTTCTTATAATGAAGGATATCGTTCATTATTTTAATATATTAATTATTCATTTAATATTGTGGTATCATCAGCAAAAACTATGAATCTACCATTTGTGCTTACGTTTAATAAATCATTGACATAGACTAAGAATAGAATCGGACCTAATAGTGATAATTGAGGTACCCCTATTTCTATGTTTAATTTATTTGAAATACTCGAATAATGTCTTAATAATTTTACCAATCTGGGATCGATTATTTAAATATGTCTTAAACTAATTGAGTGAAACTCCAGTACGGCCATATTTTTTTAGTAGTTTATCATGATTTTAAAAGCTCCAGCCCACCCATATTTGTTTAATTTTCTTAATAGCATATCATGACTTACACAGTTAAAAGCTTTGGAAATGTCACAAAAAACAGCTAATGTAATTTGTTTATCCTTTAAATTTTAGTATAACTGTTGGAGTAATGTGAAAATAGCATCCATGCTATTTTTCCATTTTAAAAATCCAAATTGGTTGTCATTTATAATTTTATTGATTTTCAAAAGGTCTCTCAATTTAAATTGGAATATTTTTTCTATCATTTTTGCTGTAACTGTAATTAAACCAATGGGTTTATAATTTTCCGATAAATCGCTTGTACCTCCTTTATAAACCAGAATAACTATTAATGATTTCAAAAATCCTGGATGAACATCTGTGTTCAAAGAAATATTCTTAGGTTTTGTGAGGGTATCAAGCACCAAGAGAGAAATTCGCTTTAACATTCAAGGAAATTTCATCAATGCCTGATGATTTTTTATTTTTGATAGATCTTTATACTTATTGCAGTTCAGAATAATATCAGTATGATGAAGTAAAAATTCCTGATCTATATTTATGTGGTTTAGAGTTGTCATCATTATTTTGCATAGTATTTTCTTAGTTTTTCTGCTATTGTGCCGTAATAATTATTTAGTGCATCAGGATTTATAGGTGGTATGTTGACGGAAGTAGGAGATTTGCCTCTTAATTCATTTACGACTTTCCATGCGTCCTTGTTTTATTTCCTGCAATTATTATTTCCTTTTTATATTGTAAAACTAGCATCCAATTTATGTGTTTAGCATTTTTGTAAGATGGACTTTTTGTGAGATGCACAGTTTTGATAAGCGAGTGCGATAGTTTAATACGAATATACGCGAAATTTTCAGAAACCTCTAGGTACTTCTATTTATTTTGACGTGCTCGTTGCAAATGCTCTGCAATAAGACTGTGCTATATTAGCGTTGCCACCTTTCTTTTAGTTTTCCTCACATACCTAAATATGCTGAATGACACAAAAAGATAAATACCTACTGTTTATCCGATTTTAATAATCTCTGGCATATACAGGGTGTTTCACAGCTTATCCTACAAATTTTAACCACATATGCACTGTTACGAAATAAGTCGATTTCTCAACGGAAAATGTAATAGAGGTCCTACAGAAACTAAGTTATAAACCTGAGTTTCAATAATAAATTGAAAAATAAACATCTGTATTTTGCGTTCATCGTCGTAATATTAGAACACGCATTAATAATATATTGTAGCAAATGTTGTACAAAGCAACTGACGAAAGCAAAATATCGGATTTTTTTGAAGTTAAATAAGAAAACTATTTTGCGACTTTTTGTTTTTGGTTATTTATTAATAAAAATGGCACATGTGTACACTAATGAGGAGTAAGTGGACATTGTTTTAGCGTACTAAGAAGCAGGGCAAAATTCGCGAGCGGCTTCTCGTTTGTATGCACACCGATATCCGAATAGGCACATACCACATCACGAAACATTTAGTTCAATTGTTTAACGTGCTCGTGCTAGTGGAGATTTGCGCCCCTGACGTGGACTGAATTAGGGTCGGGTTCACCCACAACGTGTTTTAAATGCCGAAGACGAATTTTGTTTATTATCTCATATTCTGTAGGACTTTTATTACATTTTGTTTTTTGTGAAATCAACATCTTTCGTAACAGTGCATATGTGGTTGACAAAATTTACCTGTGAGACCGTGTATGCTAATCATAAAGATGTCATACATGATACAAAAAGGTTAAAGCAGTAATTCATCATTTATAAATAAAATTTGATAATTGGAGGACTAGTGCGAATGATTACTGATGACATAAAGCTCAGTTTCCTCTAAAACGCAAATCGCTTGTTGTGTACTATTATTTTTTGTCGGAATGACCAGTCGTGGTGACTTGAGTAACAGCGAGCTGCTATTAGAATTGGTAGCAATAATAAAAAAGGAAAGTGATGCTATTAAGAATGAGATTAGACAAGATATCCAAAAAATTAGAAGAGAAAACTCGAATCTGCTGGACCATATAAGACAACAAGACACAAAAATAGACCATTTACAGAGAGTGTTTAAGGATTTGGAGAAAGAAAATTTACAGCTGGAAAGGGCGATACGAAAAAACAACATACTTCTGTTTGGCTTAGAAGTTGATACAAGGACCTCTAGCTTCCAAAGTACAACAATTCAGAAATTAAACGCACTGTTAAAAATAAATATATCCACTGGAGACCTTAAAAATATTTATAGTATTAAGTCAGGTAGGAGCTGTCCTATAAAAATTGAGTTCATGTCATACCTCGAAAAGCAGGAGGTTTTCCAGAACGTACACAAACTTAAAAACAGTTCTGTATTCGTACACGTTCTATGCCCAAAAGATCGAGAAACAAATAGAATCCTTCAAAAACACCGGAAAGTAGCGAATGTATGGTTGATGACTTCTACAAATCACTTGTCAAAGGTAATGTTATGTGTTTAACTCTCGTGGACTTCAGTAAAGCCTTTGATACCCTAGAACTCTAGATCATAATATATTGTGCATGGGGCTGAAGTACTTTGGATTTGCAGATAATGCGGTAGATTTAATAAGGGACTACTTAACTAGTAGGTACCAATACGTATCTGTAAACTCTTCTGACAAAAGAATGATTACAATGGATGTACCACAAGGGTCCATATTAGGCCCTTTACTATTTTCTTTATATATTTCAGACTTTCATAACTACGTAAAAACTTGCAATATATATACATCACTATGCCGATGATACACAATTGTACTTCAGTTTTCAGATTGATCACATTTTGAACACCTACTCTTTGATTAACGACGATATTAATATATTATACAATATATTAATTGCACATAATCTAAGCCTTAATGCCAACAAATCAAAGGCAATGCTGTTTGGCTCTAAACAAAAACGTATGATTTCTGAGCATTCGTTTAATCAGAACATTAATAACATACCATTACCTGTAGTGGGTGAGAGCAAAGATTTGGGATTGTGGATTGATTCAGATCTGCGATTTAGTGTCCATGTCAATAAAATTTCCTCCTCAGCGTATAGTATGCTTATGCAATTATATCCACAGCGTCGTGTTTTAAATAGTAGCTTGAAAATGAAGTTATGTGATGCCCTTATAATTTCTCGCCTATCTTCCTGTGACAACATATATGGCCCGGCTCTTTTAAAAAATGATTGTTTAAAATTACAGCGAGTACAAAATTCGTGTCTGCGCTTCTCTTTTGGTATAAGAAAGTTTGATCACATAAGCCATATATTCAAATAACACAACATTCTAAGTTTAGATAGATTGAGAAAATTGCATTTCCTATCACTAGTCCACAAAGTTCTCGTGAACAAAAAGCCGGAATACCTTTTAGATAGAATTTCAAAGTTTGAAAATATCAATTATTACTAGAAATAGGCGAATGATCGTTATACCACCCCACTCAACATCAACCTTTAAACGCAGCTTTTCATATAATGCAGCCAAACTATACAATTGTCTCCCAAATGATTTTTATGACTTCTCTTTATTGAACTTTAAGAAAAAGCTAAAGAATTTGTATTTGTCTGAACTGTGAAGGATCCTATATGCCGACTCTGTTTACGCCCAGTACTTTTCTACTTGTCTCTCTTTCATTCTTGTTCTACTAATTGTTGATACAAAATACTTTTTCGTTACCTTCAAAAATGTATTATGATTTGCTGATAGGACGTTGGTAGCTACACCAGCAACAAAAGACTTTTAATCCTACGTTTCATTGAGAAAGTTATGGTAGTTAAATGGATGAGCTAAAACTCACAACATATTTTTTTCTTTTTTTTTATGATTAGTTCCTTTCCCTTAGGCACTAGGTTACAGAGCAATTATTATGACTATCATTAATACTTACGTTTATCTCTATTACTGTATGATATGTGTATGTTCATGATACAGATACAATTTTTTATTTGAGGTTGAACTGAAAAATACCCCTAGGGTAACACTCCACCTTTTCAATTTTGCACTTTTGCGGTTTTCAAGATATCATTCTTGTTGAATAAAGGCACATTATTATTATTATTATTATTATTATTATTATCATTATTATTATTATTATTATTATTATTATTCGTGAAGATCATTTCCAGCAACGTTTTAAAATAAATACTTGGGCGGGTATTCTTGACGATCAGGTAATTGGCCCTTTCGAGTTACCGCCAAAGTTGTCAGGAGAAGGATACCTTAGGTTTCTAGCCAATAACCTACCAGAACTTTTGGAACAGACCTTAGACAACATGGTATTGGGGAGAACTTAAAGGGATGGTTTATGGGGCTGGTCCAATAACAACTAAAGCACAACTTCGCGAAAAAAAATTGAATGCGCCTGAAGTAATAAATGGACAACTACGAGGACCTAGAGTAAGAAGAAACTGGGTTCGATGTAATGAAGCTTGTGTGAAAAGTGGAGGACGACATTTGGCTCTTTTAAAAAATGATTGTTTAAAATTACAGCGAGTACAAAATTCGTGTCTGCGCTTCTCTTTTGGTATAAGAAAGTTTGATCACATAAGCCATATATTCAAACAACACAACATTCTAATTTTAGATAGATTGAGAAAATTGCATTTCCTATCACTAGTCCACAAAGTTCTCGTGAACAAAAAGCCGGAATACCTTTTAGATAGAATTTCAAAGTTTGAAAATATCAATTATTACTAGAAATAGGCGAATGATCGTTATACCACCCCACTCAACATCAACCTTTAAACGCAGCTTTTCATATAATGCAGCCAAGCTATACAATTGTCTCCCAAATGATTTTTATGACTTCTCTTTATTGAACTTTAAGAAAAAGCTAAAGAATTTGTATTTGTCTGAACTGTGAAGGATCCTATATGCCGACTCTGTTTACGCCCAGTACTTTTCTACTTGTCTTTCTTTCATTCTTGTTCTATTAATTGTTGATACAAAATACTTTTTCGTTACCTTCAAAAATGTATTATGATTTGCTGATAGGACGTTGGTAGCTACACCAGCAACAAAAGACTTTTAATCCTACGTTTCATTGAGAAAGTTATGGTAGTTAAATGGATGAGCTAAAACTCACAACATATTTTTTTCTTTTTTTTATGATTAGTTCGTTTCCCTTAGGCACTAGGTTACAGAGCAATTATTATGACTATCATTAATACTTACGTTTATCTCTATTACTGTATGATATGTGTATGTTCATGATACAGATACAATTTTTTATTTGAGGTTGAGCTGAAAAATACCCCTAGGGTAACACTCCACCTTTTCAATTTTGCACTTTTGCGGTTTTCAAGATACCATTCTTGTTGAATAAAGGCACATTATTATTATTATTATTATTATTATTATTATTATTATTATTATTATTATTCGTGAAGATCATTTCCAGCAACGTTTTAAAATAAATATTTGGGCGGGAATTCTTGACGATCAGGTAATTGGCCCTTTCGAGTTACCGCCAAAGTTGTCAGAAGAAGGATACCTTAGGTTTCTAGCCAATAACCTACCAGAACTTTTGGAACAGACCTTAGACAACGTGGTATTGGGGAGAACTTAAAGGGATGGTTTATGGGGCTGGTCCAATAACAACTAAAGCACAACTTCGCGAAAAAAAATTTAATGCGGCTGAAGAAATAAGTGGACAACTACGAGGACCTAGACTAAGAAGAAACTGGGTTCGTCGTAACGAAGCTTGTATGGAAAGTAGAGGACGACATTTTCAACACCTTCTTTAAAAATAAAAAAAGTGGTGTGGGTTTTAAAAAGAAAAACAATGTATGTATCAAAATTGTGTTCCCTATTTATAAGTAGATTTTTTAATACGTTCAATAAACTTCCACACACCAGGTGAAGCGTGGTAAGTCCGTTTTATTTAATTGTTTGCATTTTACGAGTACATTATCAAATAATGAAGTAATACCTAAGAGCCGTTTTGACCCCCATGTTATACGAAACTTTTTTCTTCTTTTAACACCCTCTATCACCCATTCAAATAATCTTCCTTTCATTAACCCTGATATGTCTCAACAGTCCCATATTTCTGTCTAATCAGTAATCATAGTGCTAGAAATGTATTTCACCTACCTGATAACTGTAACATAGTTATTATACTCCTACATCCCGTGAACTTAAAATTAGGGTGAAAGTGCATACTTTTGTTTATTTGCAGTATGGAAAATCTAAACAAGCCGTAATTTTGGGGTTGTCTCGCAAAGTGGAGTCAAGTAGATTGACTCTGTACTTCCCACGCAATTTTGAACAAATGGAAATTCAATATACACCTCTTAATCACGTTTTGTACTCCACGTATAATTATTATTCGACGGATATGATAATCCTTGCACTTTAAAATAGAGATGAAGTGATGCAAAAAGTACACTAGATTTGAAAAAAATTAAATTTTATTCTTTGAATACGACAACAGTGATGTTATAATAGAAAATTAATAAAGATATTCCCTTGTAATTGCATCTTTCATGCCACAGATCAATACTCCTGTACTTAAAAGGCAGTAAAGTGTGGAAGTCCGAGTCTGAAAAAATTATTAGTTCAAAATTCTATATTGTTTTGAACTAAATGAATATGGCTTTGTGGAGTTTTTTAAATGTGGTTTCGGGACCCTAATTGTTGTCGAGGCCTGAAATAAATGACATTCCGTCGTTAATGGCAGAAAATCAAAAAGCAGTAACATGTGATGTACTGATTATATACTCTGCCAGAACATATTTACGGCCTTTTTTCGTATTTTGATAGTCATTTATATTATTCTTCCAAAAGAAAACGCATTTATGCAGAATTTTATTTTATTTTAGTATAAAATATTTATAATGAAATTCAGATAAAGAGCACAAATATAAAACTACTTAATTTTTAAATAACATTTTCCAGATAAACGGGATTTTAAGACTCATCCTCACCAGTGGAGCACTATTGTGGACTTTGGAGAAGAGCATCCCACAATTTTTAGACCACAATTCAAACATGGTGACGGTGATGCTAGACAAAATGCGATATGTTGGGAGAATCTAGTACAATCATTGAATTCGATGGGATTTGGGTTTAGGAGTGTGGAGAAATGGAAAATGGTTTGGTTTTTATATCATGACCGTATATATTTACCTATATCGTGCTTGTTGCACAAATTATAGACAGTAGTTTACCACTTAGGTTTACTTTATACAACTGGAAAAAAACTTTTGATTATTCTAAAGTTCTTTGAGAATTTGTATTTTAAACGTTCAAACCACAAACCACCTCCAGCAGCTTACCAAATTGATTAAAATTATATGTCAGTTTGTCATTTAAAAAGATACAAATATATGTACTTTGAAATACTTAAAGAATGAATGTGGGTGTTTATTAATGTTTAATGTTGGACAGTGCTATATCAATAATTTATCATTTTTATATATTGCTTTAGGCTGTTGGTAGATGGAAATCTAAGGTTAAGGCAAAAGCAGCACAGCTGAGGGTCGAGAGCCATAAAACTGGTGGTGGCTGTTTAAATGTTGCTCCGTTAACAGACACAGAGGAGCGACTAATGAAATTAATTGGTTGGAAATCAGTAACAGGGAGTAGCAATGCAGAGCTGGGATTGGTAACTATGTCATTTGATACATTTAAATGAAATTGTAACTCTGTTATTAAACATGATATCAATCAATCAATTTTCAAATGAGGCACCCTGTATATTTTAACATCCTCTCATTGCCCTTTAACAGGGTTGACTCTTTTTAATTCAGATATGAATGGAAAAAAATTAAAAATATTACATTACATTCCCAAATAAAACATAGCATAATGGCAGAGCTAGCGACTGAGCCCTCACAAAGAATTAACCCTGCATGTACTTACAGTACAAACATTTTTATCTACAGGGATCCATCCGGCCCATCGCAGCACACCAGCCACTGCCAGAATTGAAACCCTTCATAGAAGGAAACACCAGTAAAACTGCAACACCATATCCTTAACCTTCTTGCAGCACAGTATCGAAGTCGCCTCCAACACTAAGGTTACTTAATCAAGAACCAACCAGAAAACGTAGTCGACTATCTACTGAAAAATCAAGGAAATTTGTTTCCTTGGCAAAAATGCATCAGGAGGCCATGGAGGAAAGGAAAACATTGAGAAATATTGTCAAACGACAGGCTGAAGCCCAAGAAGCAATGGCTGGAACACTTAAAGAACTTTTGGCCTATATAAGAAAAAAAGATGAAAAATGAATAAACATAATAGTGCATTGTAAACAATGTGATTTTAGTTTTAGAAGTATAAATCATATTTATTTATAGAATTTATTTTTGTTTGCTCTTAGATTGTTTGACTGAATAATGATTCAAGTTTTTTCGTTGTAATGTTTGTTTGTGGAAAACCTTTGTTTTTGTTTCATGGTGTTTTTCACAATAAAATATTTTTTTTAATTTTAGTTTCATTTTATTTGAAATATCTATCTAACATTTTGAAAATACAATTGTATTATGTTGACTCTCCTTGCCTGCCCTTGTTCAAGAACATTGCTTACAATAGCATCCGACTCTGGAACATCATTATCATCTTGCTCCTCTTCTTGATCTTCCATATCCAAATTAGCCCTAACACACATGTTGTGACTAGTGGCATTGATAATTTGACCAGCTCTGAAGGGGGCATAATGTAAGACCCTGTCTTTCAATAGACAACGAAACCTATTTTTCAAAACTCCTAAAACAAAATTTTCTCATTTAGTACAAAAATATATTAAAAATAAACATTTTTTATAAAATATCTATACATCTTTCTACACAATTCCTGGTTCTTGTCAAAGCTGCCGTATATCTACCTTCAGGAGTATCAGTAGGCATACCTTGAATAGGAGTCATAAGCCATGGCTCTTGTGGATAACCACTATCTCCAATTAACCACGAATTATGATCACCATTATTGTACATTTCTTCTAAATGAGTCCTTACATTGGAATTTCTCCAAATAAAAGCGTCATGAGATGCACCACCATAATTTGCTTTTATATTTAGAATCAATAGATTTGCATCACATATTAATTGTACATTTTTTGAATGATATTGCTTTCTATTGAAATATAGATGCTCATCATCTTGAGGTGTAACAATGGCAATATGAGTGCCATCAATGCAGCCTATTACTCCTGGAAATCCAAATTGCGCCATAAACTGTTCTTTTTTCTGTTGCTTTTCAGCTTCACTTAATGGGAATTTTACCCATCTATGAGCAATTGACTCTAGAGCCAGACAAACTTCAGATACTGCTCTGCTAAATGATGGTTGTGAGAATGCCACATACGCCCCAGTTCCTCCTGCCTTCTGATATGAGCCCTGAGCAAAAAACCTTAAGGCACCAAAGATCCTTATATGGACGGGAATTCTTGTGCCTCTTGCTCCAGCATCCATATGAGGGGTAAGATCACGAATGAGATCTTGTACCAACTGCCGACTAAGTCTGAAGCACTTTCGGAACTCTCGTTCAGGCAATTCGAATGCATTTTGTTTATCTCATAAAATTCTCCGCTCCAAACGTAATTGGTTTTGTGCTTCTTGATCTTCTGCGTCCTGTAGCAAATGAAGGAATATTGGCTCCATACTTTTACATGTAGGTGCTATTTTTTGTACTTCTATCTCCTTACATAAACTTGCACGAGTCGTAAAATCTAAATTAGTAATAATTCGGAATTTCCCAACAAATTGACAAATTAAACAAGCAAAACAACAGATATTTTATATCGTTGCCAACTTACCCGAATGACTTCCGAAATTTCCCTAAAAGATGTCAATGTTTTTACAATGGATAGTTCACATTTCTCTGTAACCGAACGTACCCGAACGCCCGTAGAGAGAACAGTACAGAATAAGTTCACGATATAGAAAGAAATTTCCTCTCTATACTTAAAGAAAGAAATTTCTGTTTCTAGGACGATACAGAATACGCGTGCTGAGCACTCTCAAACAGACGTAGTTTCTCACTGTCACACTGACATAATTACTTCATTTGAAGTGGTCATTTTTACTTCCACGCGCAGCCTTTACACAAGGTTTCTCTACCAAGATGTTGTCTTTACCCAGACCCAACAAAGTAGTGAAAGATCCATCATTAGATCTTCACAAATTGTTAGACGAAGCAGAGCTGAGCAAAATTAAAGAGGCATTCGATCAGGCAGATGGCAGAAGAATGAACAGAGCTGAGTTGAAAGCAGCTTTATACAAATATGCAAAGATTGAGTATGATGAGGAGAAGTACAATCTTGTCTTTGATAGAATGAATGTAACATGGTACGCTATGGTAATCATTTTCTGAGTGAAACTTCTTAACGTATTATTTTCTTGTGCTAGAAGCTGAAGAAAATCCATCGGTTCTTATTCTACTATCAAGTATATCACTTTTTGATAAAGAAGTGACCTACTTGATCTCCGTAAGTCAGTGGTAGGTCATCAAAAGTGCTTGATGGAAGCCTGATAGATCTCTATCCTCGCACCTTCCTGAAAATTTCAAAAGTTTTCCATTTTATTTGAAGTGGCTTTGGGTGTAGTTTAAAAGACATTGCTACATACAATCAATACCATTAGATTGACACACTCCATGGAACACATGAATTTTACAAATTAGACCAGCAATTCTGTGTTTTTATAAAATAAAAAAAAAGGAAAAATGTTCCGAGTCACTATGAGACTCCAAATCAACGGCAAGGTGCAATAGATTCATTTAAGCTGAACATTTATGAACGGTATTTTTGCAAACTTGTCCACAATGCCAAAACGGTTCCAGTGGGCGAACCAAGCTAGCAATATAGGACTTCGCAAAACCCGTTTGTATTTTTCTGCAAGACAAAGGCATAACCCGCAAGACCAACACCAATAGTTGCAAAACTCTTGCGACCTTGCAAAACCACTTCCACAACATATTGACATCTGACAGTTTCTAAATTGAATTATTGGAATGCTTCAACAAAGTTAAGATTTAAACAATCAAGCAGATATGATGGCACTTTATTGGAAGTATTAACTAAATAGTTGAAAAATGATACGTTAAAAACGTTTATATTTGGCTCGCACCAAGTTTTCCGCACACATTTTTGCAAATTTGAGTATCTTTCTCGAAGTTTTACGTAATTACTATAATACTGTGTTCCTTTATCGATAGAAAAGTTGCCCAAACAACTTGACTTTTTTAAATGCATATATTATACAGTGATTTTTCTTACGATGCACCACAGAAATTTGCATGCTAAAATTTGAGAGCTGAAATTTTCTATATGCATATTTTGAGGTTTCAGCCTCATGGTAATACACTTTTTCCCTTACTACAAGCGCATTATTATAAAAAAGTAATTTTATGGGAATATTTATCCTTTATCTGACAGCGACTGTGGTAGTAATGGACTATTTTGACATTTCTTTTTCAAATATATACGACGACTGACCACAAGTAAGGTTTTTGCATAAAAATGATAGCAAAGCGGAGTGAAAATAATTATTTGGTGAGCAGTCTGAATACATATAAGTATAATAACTATCAAAAAACTTTTAGATTTTTCCAAAGCGATTGACACCATCAACTATTCACTTTTAGTAGGAAAATATAAATTTTATGGTTTCTCTGCAGCATCAGGTGCTCTAATCAATTTTCTTTTTAGAAAACAGAGCACAACGAGTTGTGATCGATATGAAAACTTCTCCTAAGGATTTAATATCGACGGGATAGCCTCAACGATCATTTCTGGGACCACTTCTTTTTATTTTATATACTTCCGATCTTGATAAGGTAAAAAGGTCGTTAAGCACTGCAATATACAGTTTTTCTGCGGTTGACTCGCAGTTATACAATGATTTTAATAATGAAAATATAATAATTGCAAAATTTAAGATCTATCGACAAGTATGCAAACATTCATAATCTTAGATTAAATCCAGAAAAATCCAATGTAATTATATTCTCTCCTGAAAGGTTAGAAGAAGGCAAATTAAGAAATATTCGACTATATCATTATATTGTGAAATTATAAAATAAGAAACTGTAGAACATCTAGGCATATCTTTTGCTGAATGCCTGAATTTAATTCCTAATGTGAAAAATGATACACAACGTTGTTTTTCAATACTAAGTCGATTATACTTAAACAAGCAAATTCTCGAATATAAAACTACAAAAATTATCCGTGAGTCATCAATTACTTCAAAAATTATACTGAATTATACTGCGATATCGCTTATCGTCCTTTGTTAGATTTAGTATCCGTCAAGTGCTTGCAAAAAATTCACATTTCATATTGCAGATTAACCTGTAACTTGTAGAAATATGACCACTTACCTCCTAGTTAATAAAATTACAATAGTTGTCTATTCTAATCTATTTAAATTTCATTTGCTATGTTATATTCATAGGCTTTTACTTACCTCATTTTTGAAGGATAACTTGAGCTTCCGTGGTTCTATGCACTCACGAGATATTCGCTTTATTGATGCAATAAAAATGCCTCCTCACATAACTTAATTTTTTACTAAATCTTTTACTTATACTCTGATACTAAGGCTTTAAATTTCGAAAATTTAAAAAATTCTTTAATAAAATCTTTTTCGACCAATCATTACAAATTTATCTCTCATTTCTGCCTATATGCATTAACATCCTTCTATAAGTATGTATAATGTTATACTTTTCCTTTTTACCAATTTTTGATATATTCTACTCAATTAATTCGGTTTTATGTTGACACTTCTGCATTTTTAGTGGTACATATTATTTTTACTGTTTATTTTGTGGTTAGATATTTTACGGGTTCAGTGGTAGAACAGCTTATGCTAAACTTTGCACAATAAATGCGTTTTATTATTATTATTAACAGGTACATATTGTGCTTGTGCTTTTTGAAATTATTGCAAAAAATCATAAAAACTTGACAACCTGTAAAACGAATATAAGCATTATTTTACTTATGCATGTTAGATCCAAATACTTTATTTTGATCTGACCTCTTACTTATTAGCGTATGCTCAGTTAATTATGGGGCGTTCTGCGACATTGTAATATACAGGGTGACTTTGAAGTTGAGTCATTAATTTTCAGGTAATGATTGTAGAAGGAAGATAAACCAAAATATGTGTGTAAAAATAAAATAAAAATTAAAAAAAAATTTTTACCTTGTTTTATAAAGTATCCTCCCGACAAGTATTTCAGTGCGGACCTGTATTTGATCGTAAGGCCCCTGTGAGGTCTTAAGTCACCTGATTCACGAGCCCGTTGTACTACATTAACAAAGGCACGAGGGGTTGGTTGCACTCGATTGGAAAACCGATCCGCATAAACATATGCCATTTTTTATTTCGCTTGAGCCACGCAACAGACACTATTCACACGTGTTACCGACTGACACTGACTGTATGTATAACTGAACTGAATAAAATAATTGTAAAAACATCGTTCCAAATTCTTTCGCTTTTTTGTTTCCGATGCGATGAACCGATAAGGCGGATTATATCCGTTGTTGCCAAACACGAGCACATGATATTATTATTGAGACAGGGCGGTACTCAAACTTCCAAAGGGCTATAACTTTGTTACTTTAATTTTACCAGAAAAATGGTAAAGGAAAAAAACATTTCTTTTGATCAGATCTACTCACTGTTAAAATAAATGACTCAACTTCGAAGTCACCCTGTATATTGAGCTTTATAACATTTATTAAAGTTTACAAGCCAGAGGTAATTATCACCAAATCCCGTTAATATTAATATAATTGATTTTCGAAATAATTAACTTAGTAACGTTGAACAAACTATATAAATCAAAAATTTGATAACTGTACAGTGTATGCCAGAAATAACACTATAGAGTGACCGGGAGGTAGATTGGTTGCAGATCAACCAGATAAAATGAACATGACCTTAATAAAGGTTTTCTAGTTTTAGAGATATTGCCACTTTTAAGTTTTTTCAAAAAATCCCTACTTTTTGATTTTTACAACATTCAAATCAAATAAAGAATTAGGAATCATTGTTATCATCCTAAATTAACTGAACGAAAATTAAACTAACATCTTGAACGTAAATATTGCCTAAAATAAATTATTATTATTATTTTCATAACAGATTTTCAAAATGTCTGCCACCGACTCTTATACATAACCTGCATCTCCTTAAAAATTGTCCTTTTAAATGTCTCAAACTTAAATCGGATATTTTGCGTGCTGCTTGACGGATTCGATGACGCAGTTCATCGGCTGACCGAACTGGTTTTTCATAGAACCTATGTTTTAAACGTTCCCAGTAAAAAAATCCAGAGGGTTCAGGTCTGAGGAGCGTGGGGACCAAAAATTGGTCCTGGACAGCCAATCAATCTCCTAGGGCATGTTTCATCAGGATACCCCTTATTGCACTAGCATAGTGTGCAGGGAACCCATCATTCTGTGACCACATCATTCTTCCTATTTCAAGAGGCACATCTTCCAAAATAATGGGTAGATGATGTTGCAAAAAATCTAAGTAAATTTAAGATTTTTTGAGATCATTTGCCGATTCAGTCTGGTAAATTTTTTTCACAGTAATTAGTTAAACTTTAGTAAAGGTCTTCAGATTGGAACAAAATGTAATGATTTATTTGTCTTAGCATTCCGTGCTAGTTTTCAATGAAATGAGTACTTGGTTGTATCAACCAACTATCAATGGTAGCCCAGGAATAAAACATAAGTTAGAAGTTCTTAATAATCCTAACAGGAAATAAATAAGCAAAAATTTGGAATTTTTTGAGAAAGGTTAAAATTGTCAATATCAATATCAATATAGAAAGCTTTTACTGAGATCATGTTAATTTTATCTGATTGATCTGCAGCCAATCTACCTCCCTTTTCACTCGGACGTGTTATTTCTTGGAGTATATCGCCTCTGTCACTACTATTAAGTGCTCAATAGCTTTACAAAACTAAGACCCATACTAAGCTAGTATTAGTAATAGTAGCTTTATTAATGTTGTAAATATTCTTTACCCATTGTACGTTACTGCTGAAAATTTGAATTTAAATTTGGATTACCACAAAGGTCAAGGCAAAATCAAATGTATCCATCGCCTACGCTATGCCACCTATTTCATTAGAACAATTAATCCCGAAAACAACAATGCAGTGATAATTCTCTAATAACATATTACAACCAATGTTAATCAAGATAGATCGAGCTCAGTTACACGTAGGATGTACTATAATGATCTGCCAGGGACACATATTTCTAAAAGCGAATCAGTTTTATCTTTGGATTGCTTTGCATACTCCGGATATTTAACG